CAGCACCAGCATTTCCAGGGCAATGATAAAAGGGCTAGAGGGGTTCTAGCTGGGCATAGCACTTCACACCTGTGATCCCAGCACTGAGGAGGCTGAGGCAGGAGGATTGCTATGAGACTGAGGCCAGCCTGGGCTACATAGTGAGACCTTGTCTCAAAAAAAAAAAAAACCCAAACAAAAAATAAAAGATTACTCTGTCACTCCCAACTCAATGTCCCAAAGCAGCACAGCCCTGGGCCAGAATTCCATGCTGCCAAATTGTGGTTCTAAGCATATTTCATGAGATTGGAAAATGTACACAATATAATATAATAGGAAATACAGGACCCAAGAGAGTATATTATCAAAATTTTGTGGCCGGGGATTTAGCTCAGTGGTTCCACTGTCTGCCTCAAAAGCACAAGGTCCCAAGTTCAATCCCTGAAAAAAAAAATTTTTTTTTTAATTTAAAGATAATGAAAATTATGTGCATTAGAAAAAGGTTGGAAGGATATATACCAAATAGCATAGGTTAACTCTGAGTAAATGTATCATGCACTCAGGGAGGCTGAGACAGGAGGATTGCCAGTCTGAGCCCAACCTGGGCAACTTGGTGAGATCCTGTCTCAAAAACATAATAAAATACAGTGGACCCTTGACTTATGAGCTCAATTAGTTCACAAGGGCTGGCTGTCACTCAAGTTGGTCAGTTGAAGGCTCAGGCTCTTCTACATAGCCTTCAAAGTCTCTCTGCTGTGTATAGGCAGATCTCAGAGTCCTTAGACACTGGCCCAGGACGTCTCCAATAACCCCACACAGGAAACGATGGTGTCATGTTCCTTCCAGAACTCTTTAAGGGTTAAATCTGCATCTGAGACCATCTGGAAGCACAAGCAGCCAGCATTCGACTTGTAACTCATGACCTTGGTCATAAGTTAAAACTAAAATTCCAGTCATAACCCAAGTTGTTCGTATGTTAGGCTGGTCATAACTCAAGGGTCCACTGTAAAATAAAAAGGGCTAGGATATAGCTCAGTGTAAAGGCCTTGGGTTCTATCCCCAGTGCCAAAAAGGCAAAAATACAAGTATCCTGGCTGGGTTTTCTTTTCTTATAATTTTTTCCTAAAATGAGTGCAAAGGAGTTGCACCAGCGAGGAGAAAGCCCTGAGGAGCCGGTGGCCAGTCAGTCGGGCTGACGGGTGCAGGTGACCACCTTGGTCCTCCATCTCCTGCCCTCTGCACCTCCCAGCTCCTCTGTCCACTTCACCCTCCATGCTCGTGGCAACCTGAACTGTCCAAGCTTTAAGAACCCAACCACTTCTGCTTTCTCCCTGAGTCCTCAAGGCGTCCTAGTCACTTTCCCACCTGATACTGCAACTCAAAGGAAGAGCGGTTTCTTCTGGCTCAGATTTTTGGTCCACAATTAGCTGGCTCCGAGGCAGGACAGCGGCAGAGGGACCCGGGGGAGGAGAGGCTGCTCCCATCATTGAAGCCAGGAAGCAGACAGAAGGGCGGAGCTGGGGAGCAGTCGCCCTTCCACCCAGGCCCTTCCTGCCACCCAGGGTCCAGTCGCCTTCCAAAGGTCCCCTCGCAGCGCAGGAGGCTTTGCAGGAGGCTTTGCGGGGACACCCCGGGTAGAAACCGCAACACAAGGGGGCTTTTGTGGGGGCTTCCGAGTTAGATGTCCTGGGGAAACCAGAAGATGGGCCCCAGTCGTGGTGGAGAAGGGCCCCCGGGGCTGGGCTAGGGCTGTGCTTCGCGTTCGAGGGTTCACGCCCAGCACTGAGGAGGAGGGGAGGAGAAGGAGCCCAAGAGGGATGATTCCGATTCTGAAAGGGGCGCCCAGAGTGGGGGTCCCTGACAGGACCGAGGTGGGAAGATGGGGTAGACAGACCTCCTCCTGCAGGTAACCCTGCAGCTGGATGTGGGAGGGAGAGGGAAGCTGACCCAAAAAAGAAGTAGGAAAGGCAGTCCCAGAAGCGGAAAAGGGAACGCAGGTGCAAAGGCCCAGGGGCAGGAGGTTTGCTGTGTGAGCAACCTGCTAGAACAGGGGACAGGAGGCATGTGGAGAGGAAGGGAAGGCCAAGCCAGGTGCTGAGGGACAGAGGGAGGGGACAGCATCTTCTTAGTGGGTCTCACTGTCAGTGTCGCCTCAATGTGGGCCCAGCGGAGAGCAGAGAATCCTGCCCATCTAGCCCGTGTGCATGAACTGTGCATGTCCGGAAGAGGCTGCATGTGGGCGTAAAGCACGCTGAAACCTCGGTGTGAAGAAGTGCGAAATTCCTGAGCTTTCATCTTGCTTACGTGGTGAAAGAATAGTATCTTGGAGCTACTGGGCTAAATAAATACATTATTCAGACTGGCTCCATTATGCAGCAATTTTTCTTTTTTTTGGTACTGGGACTCAAACTCAAGACCTTGCTCTTGTGAGACAGGCACCGGAACCACTGAGCTAAATCCCCAGCCCCTATGCATCAATTTTTTTAAAAAAATAACAAAAATTGGGCCCGAGGTTTAGCTCAGTGACACCAGCACCTCCCTGGCAAGCGCAAGGTCCTGAGTTCAATCCCCGATTACACACACACACACACACACACACACACACACACATAATAATAATAATAAAAATTGAAGGGCCAAGGATTTAGCTCAGTGGTTTCACCACCTGCTGTGCAAGCGCAAGGACCCGAGTTCAATCCCCAGTACCAAAAAAAAAATTGATTTCACCTGTTTGGGTTTTTAAAAATATGGACCTGGGGGGCTGGGGATTTAGCTTAGTGGTGCCCGCACCTGCCTCGAAAGTGCAAGGTCCTGAGTTCATCCCTGTACCAAAAGAAAAAGAAAAAGAAAAAAAAATATGAACCTGGGAAAATGCAGAGCTGTACTCATGTTTCACGTGGAGTTTCTAATCAAGCAGCATCGGTGCCTGTCGTTATTATTCTGTGGCCACGACTGGGCCAGAAATGTTACTGTTCTTAGGCTGGCTGACTCAGGTATATGGTTTTGTGATTCAACATTTTTTGGGTTTTTTCTATTCCTGCTTATTATTATAAAAGTAACAAAAGAAAAAACTGTCCGTAATCCCCAACAGCTGGAGTTCATACTAAGAACAGCTTGGAGGATTTCCTCCCAGGCTTTTTTATTTTATTTATTTATTTTTGGCACAGTATAGGCAGATAACTAATTTTTAGTTTTATGAAATCATGATTATACAGGATGCTCTCTGGAGTTTTCCATTTCCCCCTTAATATTACACACGGGCATCCACATGTCGTTAGCAAGGCTTCAACCAGGTGCCCCATGGCTGTGTAGCCTCTTGGGCTCAGTGTCCCGCGCGAGGAGGAAGGAGTCTGAGACCCTGCCCCTCGGCCTGGCCGGCACTGCCCCTTCCGTGGTCCCCTAAAGGTGGCAGCCAAGATCAGGGGCTAAGAGCCCAGACTCCGGTACCAAGGGCCTGTGTTGATCCCAAATCTGGCTCCTTCTGTGGGACTCCGGGTGAGTCACTGCACCTGGGCCAATGGGCTTTGGCACTCTGCTTAGAAAGGTAATAACAGGAGCACCCATTTTTATTTTTTATTAGTACATGTTTGCAATACATAATACATTCACCATGGGGAACTGACACATATACACATTGCTTCTTAGTCCTTTTTATTTGGCTTTCCTCTCCCCTCTCCCTCTTCCCATCTGCAAAAGTTCTCCCTCCCTACTTCATCTTTTATTTTGCTCTTTAAATTATTTATAGTCTGGGTTCCTCCTATAAGAGAAATCATGTAATATTTAACCTTGTGTCTGATTTATTTCCCTTAGCATTAGGTCTCAAAATGTGTCCATTTACCTATAAATGACTCAAACTCATCCTTTATGACAGAATAGTACTCCATTGTATATAAATACCATATTTTCTTTATCTGCTCATCCGTAGGCCTCTTCTAAGATACAGCTTTTTTTTTTTGGTACTGGGGATTGAACTTAGGACTTTGCACTTGCCAGGCAGGCACTATGCCACTGAGCTACGTCCCCAGCCCAGCAGCACATGTATTGTAACACCTAGGGGTTATACTATCCCTGATCAAATGTGGAAATATTTCTAGAGTGAAGTATTTCAATGGTCACATGACTGGGAGAGATAAAAGCTTTAAATTACCTCACATGAGTTCTGGTCAAGTATTGCTACAGATGGAATTTGCTGTCAACATTATGAAAACTCTGATTTTTAGGGTTGACAAATTTTGAGAACGCAGGTATTGAATACAGGTTTGTAACGGCACAGGGTTTTACAGGGCAGTTAGGAGGATTAAATGAGTTATTACTTGAAAAGCATTTAGAATAGTATCTGGCACCAAATAAGGGTTAATGGATGTTAGCTGCTGGTTTTACTATTCTTTGTTCTTTTTTTAAAAATAGGTATAATTTACATATAAAATGTCCCCATTTTAAGCACATAGTTGGCGAGTTTTGACAGCTACATTCACCCACGTAACCACCAGGACACTACACAGCATCCCGATCTCCAGCTCCCCAATCCACCCCTCCTCCCCACAGGGGCTCCCTGGGGTCCCCCAGGGCAGCAGCCAGCAGCCTCCCTTCCCGCAGGCGTGTGTGTGTTCCCCAGCAGTGGGCATGTGGGTGGCTGCCCTCTAGGCTTAATGAACAGGACCTCTGTGAACACCCACGTCAGCTGTCCTGTTACACCTGAGGACATACCCGGGAGTGTGATGGCCAGGGAGTGGCAGCTCTAGTTTTTAGTTAGTTCAGTGGGGTTTTTCTGTTTTGCTTTGCTTCTTTTTTGAGATAAGGTCTCCCTATACAGTCCAAGCTGGCCTTAAATCCTCCTGCCTCAGCCTCCCAGATACTGGGATTACAGGCACCCATTCAAGGTGGCCACTCACGTATTAACTCTGTAGGCAGCTATCAGACAGTTTGCACAGTAGCTGCTCCATCCCATACTCCTGCCATCCCTGCCTCACACCCTGGCCACCGTTCCTGCCGGCCTTACTGACCCGTGTCCCCCGCCGCAGGTGATCCGCACGGACACGTTCAAGCACCTGCGCCACCTGGAGATCCTGCAGCTGAGCAAGAACCTGGTGCGGAAGGTCGAGGTGGGCGCCTTCAACGGGCTGCCCAGCCTGAACACGCTGGAGCTCTTCGACAACCGGCTGACCACGGTGCCCACGCAGGCCTTCGAGTACCTGTCCAAGCTGCGGGAGCTCTGGCTGCGCAACAACCCCATCGAGAGCATCCCCTCCTACGCCTTCAACCGCGTGCCCTCGCTGCGCCGCCTCGACCTGGGTGAGCTCAAGCGGCTGGAGTACATCTCCGAGGCGGCCTTCGAGGGGCTGGTCAACCTGCGCTACCTCAACCTGGGCATGTGCAACCTCAAGGACATCCCCAACCTGACGGCCCTGGTGCGCCTGGAGGAGCTGGAGCTGTCGGGCAACCGGCTGGACCTGATCCGCCCCGGCTCCTTCCAGGGCCTCACCAGCCTGCGGAAGCTGTGGCTCATGCACGCCCAGGTGGCCACCATCGAGCGCAACGCCTTCGACGACCTCAAGTCGCTGGAGGAGCTCAACCTGTCCCACAACAACCTGATGTCGCTGCCCCACGACCTGTTCACGCCCCTGCACCGCCTCGAGCGCGTGCACCTCAACCACAATCCCTGGCACTGCAACTGCGACGTGCTCTGGCTGAGCTGGTGGCTCAAGGAGACGGTGCCCAGCAACACCACCTGCTGCGCACGCTGCCACGCGCCCGCGGGGCTCAAGGGTCGCTACATCGGCGAGCTGGACCAGTCGCACTTCACCTGCTACGCGCCCGTCATCGTGGAGCCGCCCACGGACCTCAACGTCACCGAGGGGATGGCGGCCGAGCTCAAGTGCCGCACGGGCACCTCCATGACCTCGGTGAACTGGCTGACGCCCAACGGCACGCTCATGACGCACGGCTCCTACCGCGTGCGCATCTCCGTGCTGCACGATGGCACGCTCAACTTCACCAACGTCACCGTGCAGGACACCGGCCAGTACACGTGCATGGTGACGAACTCGGCCGGCAACACCACGGCCTCCGCCACCCTCAACGTCTCCGCCGTGGACCCCGTGGCGGCCGGGGGCGGCGGAGCCCCGGGGGGCGGCGCTGGCGGCGTCACAGGGGGCAGCGGCGGCTACACCTACTTCACCACGGTGACGGTGGAGACGCTGGAGACGCAGCCGGGGGAGGAGGCGCTGCAGCCCCGCGGGACGGAGAAGGAGCCCCCGGGGCCCACGACTGACGGCGCCTGGGGCGGGGCGCGGCCCGGGGACGCCTTGGGCCCGGCCTCGTCGTCCACCACGGCGCCTGCGCCGCGCTCCTCGCGGCCCACGGAGAAGGCGTTCACGGTGCCCATCACGGACGTGACGGAGAACGCCCTCAAGGACCTGGACGACGTGATGAAGACCACCAAGATCATCATCGGCTGCTTCGTGGCCATCACATTCATGGCAGCGGTGATGCTCGTGGCCTTCTACAAGCTGCGCAAGCAGCACCAGATGCACAAGCATCACGGGCCCACGCGCACCGTGGAGATCATCAACGTGGAGGACGAGCTGCCCGCCGCCTCGGCCGTGTCCGTGGCCGCCGCCGCCGTGGCCGGGGGCGCGGGCGTGGGCGGCGACAGCCACCTGGCGCTGCCGGCTCTGGAGCGCGACCACCTCAACCACCACCACTACGTGACGGCCGCCTTCAAGGCGCACTACGGCGGCGCGGCGGGCGGCGGGGGCTGCGGGGGCAAAGGCCCGGCCGGCCTCAACTCCATCCACGAACCTCTGCTCTTCAAGAGCGGCTCCAAGGAGAACGTGCAAGAGACGCAGATCTGAGCCCCGGGCACGCAGGCGCAGGGCGCGGGCAGGGGGCCCGCGGGGACAGAACGGGCTCCAGGCGGCGCCTCGTGGCCCCGCCCCCCCCACGCGCGCGCCCGGGGGTCCGGGTGGGGGGGACACGGGACCTGGGAGCAGCGGCCGCGTCCCCGCCTCCCATGCGCCCTCCCGACGCCCCGACCCCCTGGCTACCCGCCCGCCGCCTTCCAGGGAGAGAGGAGCTTTTTTGAGGGGTGCCCTTTCCCCTCACACCCAACAGCCCTCCTTTAACGGTTCATTTTTTGCAGTTTGACGCCTGTCCCTCCCTCCCAAGCCCTCCACCCTGGAAACCCAAGAGACAGACACGCGCGCCGTGGCCGGAGCTCCCCGACCCCGGCTGTTCCCAGCGCCGAGTGCGCTGCTCCCGCCCTGGCCCGCGGCTGGGGTGCCGGCGACCCCCGAGCCCGGATCCCCTACCCCACAGACTCTTTTGATACTGAAGGGAGGTTTGCGTCAATGACTACCTGCTCTGTAATTACTTTAAAAAAAAACATGAAAAAGTTTTAAAAGAATTTTTGGGAGGGAGCGTGAAACCGGAGAGGAGATAGAAAACTAAGTGGATGGGGTGGGGACAGAATGAGGGGGTGGAAGCCAAAAGGCCAAAGCCTCAGAGGCCCCGCCCACCGGCTTTAGACCCCTCCCCCTTCGCCGCGAGGCCCAGCCTCTTTCACCCCAGAGGATGGGGTCCCGCGGTGCTCACTCTTCCCTCCTGCTCAAGTCCAAGGTGGCCCTTTTGAGGTCCGTTCCGGGATCTGTCTTTCACACACACACCCCATCCTACACAACCCAGAGGGGCCCGAGGGCGCCAAAGTACCAGTCCCGGAGGCTTAGAGTGCCAGAAGTGTACTGTCACCGTTCCGAGACGGCAGGTCCGAGATCAAGGTGACACAAGGCCGCACCCTCGGAAGCTCAAGGGGAAGGGTCCGTCCTTGGGCAGTGTCCCCGTGTCTGCAGGTCGCCTCTCTGTGAGCGTCTGTGTCCAGCCTCCCCTCCCGAGGGCCACTGTCACGTGGGTGAGGAGCCGCCACCTCCAGTGCAGCCTCTGTGGCCTCGAGCCGCCTGCAGACACCGGCTACCACTGCAGGCCACGTGTGGGGTGCGGAGGTCGGGGCTTCCAGAGCTTTCCGGGTGACACTCCAACCCCTGGCGGGGCCCAGGCCGCAGCGTCCGTCCCATGCAGATCCCTGGGAGCTTCTCCGGAAGGAAGAGGCGGCGGAGGGGAGGGTGGGACAGAGCCCTGGGGAGCCAGCAGGGGGAGCAGGCCCGGGGTCGGGGGCGTTGGGGCCTGGTCTCAGGGCCGCCCCGCCCCGGGTGCCCTCCATCCCCGGCTGTTTCTTCACCCCCGCGCCTTATCTCCCCCCACCGAGCCTCTCAGAATTCCTTCTTTATCGGTGCTCAGCACCGCACCACCCGCCACACCACAGCCGTGGCTCCGGGCCCTATCTACCGGTCTGTCTGTCCCCTCTCCGCCGCCCGCCATGGGACTCGCGTCCTCGCCCGCCCCATCTTTCATTCTTTCTCTCGGCCCGGGCCGCGCGCGGATCCCGGTTGCCATGGCAACACTGCGACGGTACCAGGTGGCGGCGGGGGCAGGGAGCTGGGCGCCGCAGCTCCGCCATCTCCGTGCCAGACCTGCCAGTGCGGCGGCCCGGCTCCTCCTGGGGTACTTAGGGACTCCCCGGGCTGCGCAGTGTCTCTTCGGGGCTGGAACGTGGCGGGAGAGCGAGGGTACCGGATGAGGGCACCAGTGGCATTGTGGCTGCAGGGGTGAAGAATGGAATCAAGGTGAACTGAAGGACGATCGCAGACTGGAAGGAGGGGGCTCTGGCTGAGGCTGAGGGGTGCAGAGAGCAACCCCTCCATGGAGCCAGGGCTTGAACCCACTGAGGGCGGGGCACAGCTGCCTCAGGGAGACACAGGGGCAGGACCAGGCCGAGGCCTCCTCCTCTCTTGGCCACCTGAAGAAAACGGGAGAGGAGAAGGCACTGGGCACCTGGGAACAAGGGGACAGGCTGAGGCCCAGGCCCTGTCACCAGCTCTCTCACACCAAGCAAGATACAGTTTCCATGACAACTTGGCCAGCCAGAAAAGAGGCGGGGGACTGCAGAGGGAATTTTCCACATCAGCAGGAAGGAGTGGAGCGGTGTGGGCTGCAGAGGAAGGAAGAGCAGGGAAGGCAGATGCCACGCAGGGCCGCCCAAGCCCCAAGTCACCATGCCCTGCCCAGGGGCGCCCTCTGCAGACCCACTGCCCATCTCTGGCCACTGGGGGCACCAGGGAGGTTCAGGCAGGGCCAAGGGTCAAATGTCCAAAGAGCAGCAGCTACGCAGCCTGCGTGGGGCACTGAGCAGGCAGGGAGGCCCAGCCGCAGAACACAAGACCCAAGGGCATGGCCCCTGCTGGGGTCCGGCGGAAGGTGGGGGTGGTGGGCTATGGCCGCCTGGGTGAGTTCCTTGCCTTTGTGGGCCTCCTGCAGACCCCTGCCCCAAGCCCCAGAAGCCCAGCTCTGCACAGAGCCTTTCAGCGTCCCTGTCACCTACCCGGACATCGGCCACCTCACACTGGCCCGCCCCTCCCTCTGAGTCCCTGTTCCCCTCTCTGGATCTGTGTCCCCTTCTGCCCCCGCCCACCCTGTCTCCCTTTCTCTGGGTCCCCAATCCCCTCTGGTTCTAGAGCCCTCTCCTTTCCCGGCCCCAGGACAGTCCCTCGTCTCCCGCCTTCTGGCTCAGGGATCTGAACTGGGCCTTGAACTTGTATTTGTCTGGAACCGAGACCCAGGCCGCATGGCAGGGAGCGTGCCCCCGTCCCTGCAGCTCCACAGCCTCACTGCCCTTGGGGAAAGGTCAGTGGCCGCCAAACCCTGTGAGCCGGGCTTCCTGGAGTTCTGTTTCTGGCCTCCCTGAGCTGCTGTGTGCTGTCAGGCAAATCCCTGACCCTCTCCCAGCCTCGTTCCACCCAGATGTGGAATGGGGAGAGCCACACAGCCCTTCCTGTCCCAGGCCAGGGTGTGGGATGACAGGGCTCCCACACTCTGGGGGAGCCGAGGGGAGGGGAGGCCTAATCGCCCCTCCCAAGCCCTCCCCCATCTCCCCCTCTCCCAGGCACCCTGATCTGGTGGTAGAAGTGGCCCATCCCAAAATAATCCAGGAATCTGGGGCACACATCCTGCGCCATGCCAACCTCCTGGTGAGCCCCCTCAACCCATCACCCACCCGTTGTCTTGCTCTTGTTCCACCCTATGCAGCAGTCTATCCCCGACCTTCCCTACCTTCACACTCCCCAGGTGGGGTCCCCATCAGCCCTGGCTGACCAGACCACACAGCAGCAGCTCCTTGCCGCCTCCCACCACTGGGGCCACGCCATGTTTGTGGCTCGAGGAGCACTGTGGGGGACTGAGGACATCTCGAGATTGGATGCAGCCGGAGGCCTCCAGGTGAGAACCTGTTGAGCTCCCCCAGACCAGACAGGGCCTGCAAAGGTCCCAGTCCCCCTGACCAACCCCTCTTGCTTTCAGAGCCTTCGAGTCACCATGGCCACACACCCAGATGGCTTCCGGCTAGAGGGACCCCTAGCTACCACTCACAGCACTGGGCCTCGCACTGTGCTCTACGAAGGCCCTGTCCGTGGGCTCTGCCCCTTTGCTCCCCGAAACTCCAACACCATGGCAGCTGCTGCCCTGGCTGCCCCCAGCCTAGGCTTTGACAACGTGATCGGGGTGCTTGTGGCGGATCTCAGGTGAGCAGAGCCGGGCGGGGGTCGGGCTGAGTCAGGCCATCCCCTCATGCCCTGCTCCCCGCAGCCTCGCGGACATGCACGTGGTGGACGTGGAGCTGAGAGGACCCCCGGGGCCCACGGGCCGGAATTTCGCTGTGCACACCCACCGGGAGAACCCAGCGGAGCCAGGCGCTGTCACCGGCTCCGCCACTGTTGCTGCCTTCTGGCGCAGCCTCCTGGGTGCGGCCCTTCCTCCCCTGGCCCAGGTCCCTTCCCTGGGCCCAGGGCTCTTGTGCTCTGCGGAGCTTGGGTCTCAATCTCTGGTTCCAAGCTCGATTCCCTCTCCGCTGACCTTTATTCCTCATCTCCTGAACCTTCGCACTCCACCATCTGAATCTGTGTCCGTCTCTGTCCACGTCCCTTCTCTCGAGGTCTAGGTCACTCTCTGGGTCCCCTTCCACCTTCGTTGGTCTGGCCCTTACTCCCATCACTCTCTTCCCTCGGTCTACGTCTTTCATTCCGGTCTCTCCCCCGCAGGCTGCTGCGAGCTGCCCTCCAGGCCAGGGATCCATCTCTGCTGAGACGCTTCCTCCCCCTGAGAGGACATCCCACCGCTGCTCACTCTTGTCCAGGGCTCATTTTTCAAGAGCGGCCTCCGTTCTCAGTAAAGCTCAGAGGCTGTTCTCCCAGACCATGTGGGCTCTGTGGTTCCTTAGTTCTCTGTGATGTCACGCAGCGTCATGCACAGCACTTGACGCCATCGCAGTGGGGGGAAAACACACACGACTCCCGGAAGCTATCGCGAGAGCTTACTGACTACACTTCCCAGAACCCTCTGGGCAGCAGTGGGTGTGGCGGTCTGCGGGGTCGGATTTCCGAGACTCATTTCCGGGGTTTGCAGTAGGGACTGGCGAAAGTTGTAGTCCTGCATGTTTTAGCGGCGACAGCGCACTTCCGGGTCAGGGGGCCTGGACTGTTGCGGGGAGCGTAAGAGCCCTGCGGTGGCCGTCGGGAGTAGTGGTTCGGAGCCCGGGGGTCGCCGGGACCTGTAGTCCGTTGTGCCTGCCCAGTCAGCGCGGTGTTTCCCGCCCGGCACTCAGAGTCCAGAGCCGCCGCCCGGGGGGATGCTGGAGGCCCCGGCTCGGGGGAGCGGAGTGGCAGGCGGGGTGAGGGACGTTGCCAGGCAAAGGGCGAGCGCCATGGTTGGGGTACGGGGCGGAAATAGGGCTCTAGCACTTGGTGTCCGGGGAGCAGGCCTGGTTGCCAGGTGATAGGAAGAGGAGATAAATGTTGCTTAGTGACTGGGGAGGGTACCCTGTTGCCAGGTGACAAGAGGATAGTTGTTTAATGACAGGGGAAGGGGAGTCTTCTGTTTCTAGGCGACCAAAGAGACCCTGTTGCCTAGAGACAGGAGAGGAGGCATTCTCTATTGCTAGGTAATCAGAGGAGGGACTTTATTACCCAGAGTTTGAGAGGGGGGGAGTTGTCCTCTGTTGCTAGGAAATTAGTGGTCCTAGCAACCCAGTGCTGGGAAGGGAGGGTCCTCTGTTGCTAGGTGACAGTGATAGGCACCCTTTTACTTAAAAACAGGAGGGGTTTCTCTGTTGCCAGGTGAGCAAAAGAGACCTTTTTTTCTAGGAATAGGGGATGGAGGTGCCTTGTGCTGCCCAGAGCCAGCCCAGGAGCAGGGTCAGGGGCCCAGTGTCCTCAGGCTGCTCCCAGCCCACATCTTCATGTTGGAGCCCAGGGCCTCCTGGGAGATTGGACCTCACACTGTGGGCCTCCAGATCCTGAGGGCCTGAGCTTTCTCCCCTTCCCAACCCCCAGCAGGAGCCGAGGGCAGCATGTCCCAGGCCCCAGGAGCACGGCCGAGCCCACCCTCCGTGTACCACGAGCGGCAGCGCCTGGAGCTGTGTGCCGTCCACGCCCTCAACAACGTTCTGCAGCAGCAGCTCTTTAGCCAGGAGGCTGCCGATGAGATCTGCAAGAGGTGACTGTCACCCGCCCTGACCCCTGGAGAAGAGCTCAGCGGGGCCACACATCCCAGATAGGGCTCACAGTGAGGCCAGGGCCGGAGCATACTCCTGCACCCACCTCAGCTGCAGCCTGGGGCCACACATGGAGATGGTGCTTAACCCTAACTATAGCTATCACCTGCTCACAGCACTCCATGGCTCCCTAATGCCCCTTGGGAAAGTCCTGAGCCCCTCAGCCTGGTACCCAAGGCCCTTGTGCTGTTGGCTGGTGCCAGGCCCTGCAGCTTTATCCCTCACTGCTCCACTCCAACCAGACTTCTCTGCAGTCCCAGCATGAGCCCTGCTCTGAGGCCTCCGGGCCTTTGTACCGGTTGTTCTTCCGCCTGGCATGGCTTCCTTCCTTGGCAGCCTGGATGTTCCTCAAGACTTCAAACAGCACTTCTCTATAATCCCTATCCCTCAGCCTCTCCTCTCTGTCTGGCCATCTGCTGCCTGAACTTCCCACCCACTCTTCTCACCTCTATACTTTCCCCTCCAGCCAGTGCCCCCAAATCCCCAGAGAGATTCCTACATCCTCTCATGCCCCCAGCCTCCTGCAGCTCCCTAATAATCCTCAGGCTGATTATTTGTAGAATTTATTCATCTCCTCTCATTCAAAATAAGGATCGATCGAGTCTCATGCCAAGCCCATGCTGGGGCCAGAGCTGAGTCGGACAGGAGCCCTGCCGGAGGGAGGAGGCAAGGGGAATAGACACAGAGAATAAGGCTCAAGCTTTCCCCTCCCCCTGCCTGCCCTCCCAGGGCCCAGGCCAAGAACAAAGATCCAGTTGTTCCTAGCAGGAGCAGGAGGCCCAGAGAGACTGTGGCTGCAGGGTGGGCCCAGAGAGCCAGAGGGAAGGCTGGGATGCAGGAATGCAGGGGGTGGTTGGGGACAGGTGGCTGGGAAGGGCCAAAGCCGAGGCCACAGAGGAGACAGAGAATGCCAGTTGGAGGCTCTGTCCCAGGGACATGGGCCCCTGGGGGAGCTGTGGGCTGGGGGTGGGCAGTGTCAGCTCCAGCGAGAGCAAACGGTTTGAAAACAGTGATGCCAGGCGAGGTAACAAAACGCCTGTAATCCCAGCAACTAGAGCGGCTGAGGCAGGAGGAGCACAAGTTCAAGGCCAGCCTGGGCAGCTTAGCAAGAACCTGTCTGAAAATAAGACACACAAGCCTGGTAGTGTGGGTCTGTGGTAGAGCACTTGGCACCTTGGTCCAGTCCCCAGTGCTACACACCCAAAAGGTGATGTGGACATTGTCATCGCCGAGGTGGCTCAGCTCACTGGGGAGCCCAGAGAGGACCCTAAGCCCAGCCTGGAGGTCAGGAGACTCCCCTTAGAGGTGCATCCAAGATGGACAGTGGAAGGGACTGCCTCTGGGGAAGACCGTGGACAGGCGGGGTCGGGGGACAGGACTGGAGTGCCAAGGAGCTATGTGGGACACAGAGGGAACAACCCACTGTGTGGAAGCGGTGAGGCCTCTCCGAGGTCCCAGCGCAGGCTCTTGTCACCCTTCTACCAGGCTGGCCCCCGACTCCCGGCTGAACCCCCACCGCAGCCTCCTGGGTACCGGCAACTATGACGTCAACGTGATCATGGCGGCCCTGCAGGGGCTGGGCCTGGCCGCTGTATGGTGGGACCGCAGGAGGTAGGACCTGGGGCTGGCATCTGGGGCCTGCACTGGGCCCACCCGGGAGGCAGGGGCAAGGCCACAGCAGTCAGCTCAGGGCCAGGGGAGGTGGGAAGGGCTGTGTGGCCCACAGGGGGTGGCACAATGGTGGGGGGAGGTGGGTCCCAGCAGGGCCCCCCCCCCGTGAGGCTCCTGGTGAGTCTGTGGGCAATGGGCGGAATGGCAATCACTGGCACCAAAGAGGAGGGTGACTAGGAGCTCCGCTGTGTTGGTGCTGGGGGTATGAATGGATCGGTGTCGCGTGACTACAGGATAGATGGTAGGCAGTGGATGTCTCCTAGGGGACCGCTAACCGGACAGGTAGGTGACGGACGATGGTGAATGGGCAGCATGGATGAGGAGTTGGCGAGGGCGGATGGGCTGCAGGGTAGAGGGCTGGCTGTGTCGGCGAGGGGTGATGGTGGGGAACAGGAGGTGGAAGGTTGGTGGGTGCTGGTTGGGTGTTGACGGCAGTGTGGATGGCTGGGTGGGGTGTGACGAATGGAGTGGGGATCCGAGGGGCATAGGTGAGGAGGAAGCTGCTGGGTGGACAGACTGTTGGTGGGTGGGGTCAGGTGCACAGGCAAATGCAAGGGTGGAGGGAAACAGCAGCTCCAGAGCTACCATGGCCCATGCCAGCCTGGATGTGACGCTGGGCCTGGCCTTGCATCCCCTCCCAGGCCCCTGTCCCAGCTGGCCCTGCCCCAGGTGCTGGGGCTGATCCTGAACCTGCCCTCGCCCGTGTCGCTGGGGCTGCTGTCCCTGCCACTGCGCCGGCGGCACTGGGTGGCCCTGCGCCAGGTGGACGGCATCTACTACAACCTCGACTCCAAACTGCGGGCGCCGGAGGCCCTTGGGGACGAGGATGGTGTCAGGTGAGCCGGGGAGCAGGGACAGGAGGGACCTCTTGCTGGAGCCGCACCCTCGCCCCACCCTGACAGAGGGAACGGGGAGCCTGGCTGGCCTCAGTCCCACTTCTCCACCCAGGGCCTTTGTGGCGGCCGCCCTGGCCCGAGGGCTGTGTGAGGTGCTGCTGGTGGTGACCAAGGAGGTGGAGGAGAAGGGCTGCTGGCTGCAGACAGACTGACCACCCGCAGGGACTGCCTCAGCGCTGCCTGCCACATCCTGGCCAGCCTGAGTTCAAGTGCCAGGGGAGGGCCTGTGCTCCAGGGCCCTGAGAGGCCCGGCCCCTTCCCCACATTCCCCAGCCCCATGCCGCTGCTGCCTCAATAAATCTGCTGGTTTGCTCCAGCCTCGCCTGCATCCACCGGGCTGTGGCCTTGTGTGTTCAGTGGGAATGAGCCGGGCCAAAGCTGGCAGTGGTGCGCACCTGACCTCCCAGCACTCTGGGAGGCTGAGGCAGGAGGCTCACGAGTTCAGGCTTAGTCTGGGCAATTGAAAGCCTCAGTGAGATTCTGTCTCAAAATAAAAAATTAAAAAGGGCTAGGGATGTAGCTCGGCGCAAAGGCTGAGCTGGGGTGTCGTCCCCAGTACCAAAAGGAGAGAAAGAAAAAACGAGAGGAGGCTTTGTTCCTTGGCTCCCAGCTGCGAAGCAGGCAGAGCCTGGGCCACCGGTGTCCGGGGATCCCAGAGCTGGGACCAGGCCAGCTCCGATCCCGGCTCTGGCGGCCCCGGTCTCCCCAGGTGTGACAGAATCTGTGCTGTCGAAGCCCGGTGTGTGGTGGCTCCGTAAGGCACTCACTGGCTCACTGCAGGTGCTGGGCCTCCTGGGAGGAGGGAGGGCGGCCTGGGGATGCCCGGAAAAGCACCCCAGGCTGGAGAACAGCCCCGAAGACAGAGGGGACAGAGGGGACAGGTGCTGATGCCACTTCAACCCTGGTGACCGGGAGCGGAGGTGGCTGCGTGGGGTCTGTCCTCTCCTGCCCTGGTCCCCCGGCCCCGTCTGTCTCCCCATGGCCCCCTCGTCCCCCAGGAGGGTCCTCTGGGCCCATCCTGTGCTGCTGGGTGCCCAGGGCTGGGGCAGTCATGGTCACCCTGGCCCTGGCTGCAGGGGACAGGAGGACACCAGGGCTCCCTGCCCCTCAGGGTGATGGGAAACAGGGAAATGAAGGGTCAGGGAGGGGAACCAGAGTGGCTGCGGCAGGTTGAGAGGCCTCCGTTGGAAAGGGCTGGGTGGGCAACAGACACTTCCTTAGCCCTGGTTCTGTCCCGGGCACCACCAAAGATAAGGCAGACGGGAATGGGGGGGGGTCACGGTGAGCCGGTTATTCTGGTGGTGACACAAAGCAGGCAGGGTCACCAGGGCAGGGACAGCCTTGAGTGGGTGAAGGCAGGAAGGGGCACTGGTGGGACAGGACGCTGAGGAGGGAGAGGTGACCTTTGGGAGGGCTGGGCCTGGGCCTGTGGGAAAATGGTTTGGGGAGATGCTGCGCTCCGCAGGATGGGACAGGCCAGTGACACGGAGGAAGTGAGGAAGTGAGGACTCGGGTTCAGAGGCTCAGGGTGGCAGGGCTGCCCTGGGAGGGGAGCCCAGAAAGCAGGTGGAGGGCCTGGCGGGGCCTAGCGCTAAGGTGCCAGGGGGAAGTGGGAGGCACGGGGAGGCCAGGGGAAGGGACCCTGCTTGGGGCCCGGCCCAGCCCGGTGGAGCGAGGGAGGGGGCTAGGGGTCAGGGTTTCCGAGGTCAAAGGGCAGGGGTCACAGCGCCAGCAGCCGGACTCAAGTCCCGCGCCCTGCCCTGGCCCTGCTCTCCACCCTCGCTGGCACCTCGGTCTCCCCTCCAGCGCCCGGCCCGTCGCCTGTCGCCTGTCCCGTGGCAGACAGCTGGCGGGACGCAGAGGGTTTCTATTCCGGGCTGAGCGGCGGCGGCTTCCCAGGCGCTTCCCAGCCGTGGCCAAATAAGGTCCGGAGCGCGGCGCCTGGGACCCGCCGTCCCGCCACAGCTGAGGCCCGATTTAGCCCGCGAGGGGGCGGCCCCGTGGGGCGGGGCGGGGCGGGGCGGGGCGGCCCTGCCCTTAAATCGCAGGCCCGGCCCGGGGGGGGGGGGCGGCCGCCGCCGGCGCCAGGTGAGAGGGGCGCCCGACTTCCGCCCGCCCTCCCTCTCTGACTCTCCGCGCCCGCGCCCGCGCTGTTCTCCGTCTCCGGCCGTCTGCCCGTCGCCGCCCGTCTGTCTTTCCCCCGGGTTCCCCCGACCTCGCCGCCGTCTCTCCCACTGTCCCCGCCTCCCTCCCTCCCGCCCTGCTCTGCCTTTTCCTGGCCCTTTGTGCTGTTTGTCCCAGCGTCTTCCTGTCTCCCCGGCCCTGCGCACCTCTCTGCCCCGTTTGTCTCTCTCCCTCTCACTTCCCCGCTGTCCCTCTATCTCTGTTTCTGTGTCCCTCTGTCCCATCCGCCCCTCTGACCCCTCTCAGCTCCCAGGGGAGCCGCGAGCCGCCGTGTGGCTGAATGAAGCAGGTTCTGTCCTCACCTGTCGCCCTCTGCCTGTCTTTCCTTCCTGACTCCCCTCCGCTCTGGTGGGTGTGAGGAACCCGGCCCCTCCCTCTCAGAGCAAGACGGTGGGGCCAGCCTGGGGACAGGGGACCGGGAGAGCAGCCACGGGTGCCAGCTCAGAGGGCCAGCAGGTGACAGGGACGGGGAGGCCAGGCAGCCCCTCCCAGGCCCGAATGACGCGGGGACACGGACAGCGGCCGCAGCTGCCCCGCTCTGGGCAGGCGGTGCCAGGCCGGGACAGTGGGCCCTGCGCCCACCCGCCCTGTCCAGCGGGCACAGCATGTCCTTGTCACCTGCTATGGGTCCCTTCCTGTGCTTCTGCTGGCTCTGCCTCTGCTCCTGGCTCTGCCCAGAAGGAGGTGGGCATCTATTAAGTTCCGAAAGTGACAGACAATGTCCGAATGCTGCCTCCTGTCCCTCCCACCGTGAGTCCTTTCTCCTCTTGGCTCTGCCTCCTCCCTCCTGGCAATGAAACGGGCCTCCCCTGAGTGCCCGCCTCCGGTCTCCTCTCCGGGAGGGAATGGACAGCCCTGAGCGCCCCCGGGGGCCGAGCACTTCACCCGCGGGGCTCTCCTCGTGCCCCGCCTGTCCCCAGCCCTCAGCACATCCCCTGGGCACCCCGCACGCCAGCAGCTCTGCCTCGCCTGTCTCCCTGACCCACGGCCCCTGCTCCTTTGCGCTCTCAACCAGGGACGGGAATGGGCACTCAGCACCAGCCGTGCGCCAGGCCATCTTCCCGCACTGGCGCCTCCTCACCGGCTGCCATGCCCGCATCCCGATTTCTCCTGTCGGCTCCATCTGCTCTTTCTTGGGGGAAAAAACAAGCAACTGTGAAGCACCTGCTGGATGCAGGCAGCTGATTTCCTCATCCTCTCCCAGTTCCTCCCTCCCTGTTCTGAGTGCTGCATTTATTGAGCGCCTGCTGTGTACACCATGGTCCGCCCCCACTGCCCCTGCCCCGTGCCCTCCTTTGCCAGCCTGTCTCCTGTTTCTCCTCCCTGCACGCCTCAGCCTCCGAGGCCAAATCTTTTCCTTCCGCCCTCTGCCCCGCTCTTCTGACTGGGTGCGTTGACTGTGTCCATCTGTGTCCTGCCCCCCTGTGCACCGGGCCTTGTTTCCTCTTCCCTCTCTGCCCGGCGCTCTCTCCTGGGGAAGAAAGAGGCCAGGGTTGCGCGCCTGCTGTGTGCAGCTGCCTCCCTTCCGGGGGGGAGAGGGGCACTGAGCCCATGCGTCATGCCGGGTGTTACCGGGTACAAGGCGGCCTGCCGTGGACAGTGCGCTCTCTCTCCCTCCCCCATCCTCCGCCTACCTGAGTGCTACGGATTGAACCCAGGGCCTTCACACTGAGCACACTGAGCTCCATCCCAGCCCTCTGCTCGCTTGCTTGCTTGCTTGCTTGCTTTCCTTCCTTCCTTCCTCCCTTCCCTCCTTCTTCTTTTCTTTTCTTTTCTTTCTCTTTCAGAGTAGGAAAGGTTTATTGGAGAACAGGAATAGCTCCTGAGAGACAGGAGGGGTCCCGAGTGGGTTGCCTTTGTTTTTCCTTTTTTTGACTCGGGGTCTCGCTAAGTTGCCCAGGTGGACTCAAACTCTGGATCCTCCTGCCTCAGCCTCCAAGCGTGGGATGGCCAGCATGTAGCACCACGCCCTGTCTCTCCCCTCTTTCTCCTGTCTCGGGGGAGAGGAACTGAATTCCCCGTGTGGCTGCTGTCTGCCTAGCAGTTCCGCCCTGGCCCTCCCCAGGCCGGCTTTCTTCCCGCTGCCCTCCTGTCTCCCCTGTCTCCTCTCTGGGAGAAGACGCCATCTGCCCGCTCTTTCTGAGCACTGCCCTCTCCACCCTGCCCTCAGCCCTCCTCACCCAGCAAGAGGAAGGGCAGCCCCTGCGCCCCGGCCTGTGCCAGGCGATCCCCATGCACTGCTGCCCTCCGTAGCCCTCTCTCCACTTCCTCTCAGCGTGGAACCCCCGTTTTCCAGAGGGAAGGGGCCAGGTGTCCCGGGAACCAAACCCTGGGTGCTGACAGATCTGGGCTCTGGTCTGATTCTGCGGTGGGAAGAAGCTGGGGTGAGGACACCGCCCCTTCCGGTGTTTGGGGGCAGGGGCTGGGAGGCCGACCCGGAAGTGGGGCTGCGGGAGGGCTGGTCCGCGCTCGGCCCCTCTGGCCCGCCGTCCCTGCCCCCCTGTGGCCTCTCCTCCCCTGTTCTGATGCCCTCCTGGGCAGGGCCCTGCCAGCCTCCTCCCCGCTGCTGTTTACCCCTCGGGACACACAGGCCTGCGACCTGCGCTTGGAGCTTCCCGCCAGGTCCTGGACCCGGGGTTCGTGTCGCAGCTCCCTACTCTGGGGACCGGGGGAGGGCGTCACACTGGGGGCCCACGGGGCGGTGACTCGGGCTCTCTTCCCCTCCTGCTTCCCTCTCCCTATCCATCCTCACCTCCTCCTCCACTCTTCCCCCTCTTCCTGCTCCTCTCTACTCCCTGTCTCCTCCTTCTCTCTACTCCCTCACCCTCTACTTCCCGTCCACTTCCCCTCCTTCCACTTCTTCTCATCTTTTATCACCTCCTCCTCCTCCATCTCTCCTCCTCTTTCCTGTCTTCTACCCCTGCCCTCTTCTCCACCGTCCTCTTTTTCTTCTTCATCCTCCTTCGTGTGTGACAGTCTCACCACTGAGTGCGGACCAGCCCTGGACTCACAGCGGTCCCCCTGCCTCGGCCTCCCGAGCCGCTGCACCAGCCCTCTTCCCTCACTCCCCTTCCTCCCCGCTCCTGCTGTTCCCCTGTCTTCCCGCCCTCCTGCTCCTCTCGCTTTCCTCCCTCAGGAACCCACCTTCGCCTTCTTCCCCCTCCCCCTCGCCGCCGGCCTCTTCCCTCCGCTCGCTCTCCTCCCGTTCCTCCTCCCTTCCTCTCCCAGCCTCGACCTCCCTTTTCCTCCTCCCCTCCCGTCATCCCCCGCTTCCTACTCCTCCTCCTGCTGCTTCTCTTCCCTCTTCTTCCCCCTCCCTTTTTCCTGCTCCTATTCCTCTCCTCCCCCTCCTCCCTCTCCCGCCTCCTGCTCTTCCTCCCCTTTCACCCTCCACCTCCCTGTCGCTCTCCGCTCCTGGTCCGCCCTGCCCCGCTGCGCTCTGTCCTCCCGCTCTGTCTCTCTGCGTCGCCCCTCCCCCTCCGTCAGGCCCGTGCCCCCCACCTGCCCCCCAGCCTTGCTCCCCCTCTCAGGCCCTCTCCCTGCCACCGCCCTCCCCCCTCCTCCTCTGCCACTCTCTCTCCTCCCTTGGTCTCCTTTCTCGCCTTCTGCCTGCTCCTCCCTCTGGTCCCGTCACCCTGCCCCTGGCTGTCCTCCCCGCAGCTCTCTTCCTTGCCCACTTGCTCAACTGTCCTTTCTCCCCGTTTCTGTCTTCTGCTCTTTCTGTCCCACTCCCTGCTGTGATTCCTGCGCTCTCCCCTCACCTCACCGCCATCCCTCCCCCTGCTCGGGACCCTGTTTCCCCAGTCTCCGGGAGGCCTCTGTGACACTGTTCTCTCTTTTCTGTCTGTCGGGGATGCTGGACACCGCCTGGAGGAATCGGTCACCTGAGGCCCAAGAAACCACAAGAGGAGCCTCAGAGGTTGGAAGGGACCCGCCCAGGTCACACAGCAGTGAGTGGCAGGCCTGGGACCGGGTGGCCCTGGGCTGGAGTCGAAGCTGGTAGAGGGGCCTTCTGCTCACCCGTCCTGGGTCTCACCCTCTCCTCAAGAAGCAGAGCGTCAGCTCAGAGAGGATGGGCGCACAGTGTTTCCAGAGACCCGCGACCCGGGACAGAGGCCTGGCTGGACAGCCCGAGAGCCAGGAACCAGACTGGGGTGTCCTCTGTCCCCACCTGCTGGAGGTGGGTGGAAGTGCAGCCCTGCTGTATTAGGCATTGAGAATGGTGGGACCAAGAGACTGGGCTGGGGATGTAGCTCCGTGGTGCCACACCTGCCTGGCAAGTGCAAGGTCCTGAGTTTGAGTCCCAGTACCAAAAAAAACAAATCAAAACAAAGAGACCAACCTGGGGGAGGGACAGGGGCTGCTGAGTGGGTGGAGAGGGAGAATTCCCAAAATTCCATACCAATGAACCCTTATATTCCTACTATGCAAACATCCTGCCCAGTGAGCCTATTTGCAGCTTATGCCCCAGCCCCTCCATGTCCCTTCACAACCCTCAGTGGGTGGATTCTCGCCTGCAGCCCATGGAGAGGCAGCTGGGGAAGTGGGTTTGGGCCATGAGAGCCTGTTGCTCCATGGACTGGGCCAAGTCAAGCAGGCCCCTTTGTGACAGCACCCCCATCACACCTTGCTCGATGGGGGCAGGTCCAAGCTACAGTGCTGGGCCAGCAGCTAGAAGCCCTGGATGAGCCTAGCTCCTTGTCCAGGGGTCTCCCTGAGGGTCGGAAACCTATGCAGTTGTTTTCTGAAGCCACTGTGAGGGGCAGCAGCTTAAACCACTCTAAGGCTGGCTTCTCATATCCTTGGACTACACCACACAACCACCTGCTAGGGACACCTGGATCCAGGATGACCTCAGAGGAGGTGGAGCTTCCTTGGTGCTGAGAGCACAGAAAGGTGTCTGAGGGGTGTGGCAGGAAGCACGGAGCTCTTCACATCCTAAGCCCTGCCTGAAGCCTCAAGGCTGGGAGAGCCCAGGAGATCTCAAGAGGGCGGAGCTGCACAGGACAGTGGGAGCCCTGGGAGAAGAGGGCAGGCGCCTGGGCCTGAAGCCAGCCTGGTGGCACCTAATGGGTTCACTCATTAGGGCCTCAAGAGCAGGACTCAGGGGCTGGGATTTTGTGTTGGGGACCATGGGGGGGCTGCAGTGAGTTTGGCTCTGGTGTTGAACATCTGGAAGGACCACCAGTGGGAACCCCAAGACGGGGATGTCGGGGGGGGGGGCGGTGGGCTGAGGGTGCAGGAGGGAGGAGACAGAGAAGGGATGAGGCCAGGGGCCCTGGAGGGGCAGGCAGAGGTGGCAGCACGCCAGGCAACGATCCCGCCGTAACTGTCGACCTTACTCACTGTCCCTGAGGCACGGGGCACTGCTGGACCAGTGGGGCTGTGGGGCTGAAGCTCAGAGGGTCTGAGCTGGAACCCAGGCTTGGGAATCTTGGGTAAGCAAGGCTGCTTGGAATCTGGTGTGGTGGGCAGTGGCTGAGATATGGAGCAGCCACAAGGCAGTCTGTGTGTCTGTCACACACACACTAGCTTCCAAGTTCCACCTAGCCCTGTTATGGCTTGTATCCAGATGTCCCCCCCAAAGCCTCATGGGCTCATAGGTGGCGCTTTCCAGAGCTGGCTGGATCTAGGATGTGTGCCACTGGAATTAAGGGTGTGTGGTAGTCAGTAAGTCCACTGATTGGCTTAGCATAGTTCTGGGTGTGGATGGCACCACCCAAAAGGCAGGTAGCACAAACGGGATAAAAGGGAAAGGAAGGTTTGCTTGCTCCTCACTGCCTGCCTACCGTGCCATGGACTGTTTCTCCTCTGTGATGCCCCTGTGCCCTACCACCCTGCCCCAAAGCCAGCTGTTGACTGAAATGTCTGTGAACTGTGAGCTAAAATAAACTTTCCTCCTTCACCTTTGGGTGTTGGGTATTTTGTCCCAGATACAAGAAAAGTAACTAAGACAGGCCCATTTGTGTGGACAAAATCACGCAGGGACATGGGGACTGGTGCAGTGCTGCTCTGGACACCAGAGACCACCAACGGGGCCAAGGACATAAGCACTGAGCCACCAAAGTCACAGAAGGGCCGGAAACCTCAGTAACCCTGCTGAGGAAAGTGGGGAGGAAAAACACACTTCTGCAGAATGACTCACCTGAGCATGTATGTGTCCAGAACAATGATCAGGCGACAGAAAATGCAGGCAGCCTCCAGGAGGAAACTGGACAGGGGCCTGGGGATAGCAGACAGCTTCTAGCTGTGGCTCCTACTCTATCTATGTCCCCCAACCTGGCCAGAGAAATCACACCATGAATGAGCTCTCCCGGGATAGTTAAGACCAGGAGGGACGTTAAATAAGGACAGAGCCGATGCTGGCTAGGACACACTGCAGGGCAAGTGCTGGCTAGGAAGCACCGGAGCCAGGGCTCAGTCCACCAGACCAAAACAAGACAGCCCCACACACCAGCAAGCCAGGCAGAGGGCTGAGAAGCCTCAGCAGTTCTTGTGGGATAACCCAGGCCAAGGGAGAGGTGTGGGAAGAAAGCAGGGTCATAAATCTGGACCCACCCCAGGCAACTTAGCTACGCAGTGAGACCCTACTCAAAATAAATGAGAATATAGGGGCCCTCGCTGCTGTCAAGTAACATGGCTACTAGAGTTGCCGTCTTCCTCAAAATGCTTGGGCCCAGGAGCCGGTGCTGGTCATGTCCTTCGCTACTGGCAGCCTCGCTATAATTCTGCCCCGACTCAGCCCCTACACCAAATACTCCATCATGGTCAACAAGGCCACGCCCTACAACTACCCAGTGCCCATCTGAGATGATGGGAACATGCCCAATGGGCCCAGCCACCCCCCAGGACCCCCAGGGCCCCAGCTTGGAGTGGCTAAAGAAACTGTGAGCACTTCTTGCCATGGGCAGGGAGGCGGCCTCCTCCCCTGGCCCCGAATAAAAGTGTGAACACCAAAAAAAAAATTAAAAAAAAAAAATGAGAATATAAAAACAGCTGAGGTGCAAAGGCCTTGGGTTCCATCCCCAGTGCTCTCCCCCCAAGGAAAAAGCACAGGCTTGGGCCGGGGATTTAGCTCAGTGGTTTCACCACCTGCTGCACAAGCGCAAGGACCCGAGTTCGATCCCCAGTACCAAAAAAAAAAAAAAGGCACAGGCTGCCAAAAAGAGTCCTCCGAGGGCCCTGCTGTCGGAAACGCAGGGACACCACTTTCTACCCTGGACCAGCCCAGACCCCGAGTCTGAGATGCCTGCTGGCGAGGCGACAGGAGGGGAACTGGGGCAGGGCAGGTGGCTGAGGGGTGACGGGGACTAGGGTTCTGGGCAGCAGCACCTTCCCGCCCGGGGCCGGCGCCTGTCCGCCCGCCACCGTGCTGGCGAATGAGCCTCACTGTGCACCCGCACGGAGTGCGCTGCCCGTGCCTGGCAACCGTTCTCCCCACCACAGGGATCCCCTCGCCACGTGTCCTGGGCATGTCACCCCAACGCCACCAGAGCCGGACAGCCTCATTCGCTGTAGCAGTTTATAGCCCCAGAAAGCAGCATGTGGGCTCAGAGTCAGGCGCTGGGCAGTTTAATCAACTGACCCCCAACACAGCAATGCTGATGCCAATGCCAGCCACGGCTGCTGTCTCATGCTCCTGAATAACATATAAGCGAACAGTAGAGTCCAATACAGCCTGAACGCTATCAGAAGCTGGAAGTTTTCAAAGTGTGTGTGCTGCAATATTGTGTGAATATTCTTAAATAGACGAGGAAGACCACGGTCGGGCCACAGTTCTCTCCTGGTACCATGCGTGGTGGCTGTCTTGGAACAGAGGGTGCAGAAGGGCGTCTGTTTACATCACCTGGCCCCGACTCCACCAGCTGCTGGCTTCAGGCCGGGGGGTGCAGGTGTTTCCCCTGCTGTGGGCAGACCAGGGCCGGGCACAGGCTGAGGAGCAGTGCTTCGAGAGGAAGCCTGGGCAGTGATGGCCAGCCAGTCCTGGCCACCATGTCCTCAATGGGGAGGCCAGGAGGGGGCAACCTCAAGGGAAGCTGGTCGGAGGCCGGGGGCCCAGTCCAGTATCCAGGGAGGGTGTCAGGGCCAGGGAAGGCAGGGGAGCAGGTCTGGGCAAAGGCATGGAGGCTGGAGAAGCTGGCATGTTCCCAGAGGCAGGGCTGGGGTGGGCAGCAGGGGCACAGCGGCAGGAGGGGCTGCAACTCCAGCCTGAGGCAAAGGGAGCCCAGGGACTGAGGTGGGGCCGTGGGGATGGGGAACAGCGGGAACACCCCAACGCCACCGGACCCTGTCAACAGGAAGGGAGGCAGGGGAAGACCATGGGCTTCCAGGAGGGGCGTCCTCCTACCCTCTCAGGGGGGATGTGGGGGCTCTGGGTAGAAGGGAATCCCCGGGGGACAAGAGGACAGCCCAGTCACCGGCCACCACCCCCGCCCCCGCCCTGGCCCCCGGCATCCGGAGCTCCCGACATCATGAGGAACAGCACCACGGGAATGATGTACATCCACTGCAGGCGATGGGCGGAGGACAGACACACGGACACAGAGACAGAGGGGGGTGAGTGCACTGCTCTGCCTGGAAGGGGCCCGGCACCAGGGGGCTCGTGGGGGCCCGGGTTCCCTACATCGCTACAGGCGGGTGGGGCATGGGCAGGGAGGCGGGAAGGGTTCTCCGTCCTCACTCAGGCCTCCTGCGGCGGCGGCGCGGGCCCCGGGGCAGCGGGACGCAGCACTGTGAGCAACACGGCCCCCCCCAGGATGAGGCGCCACTGAGGAGGGAGGGCGTGGGTCAGCGGGGCCCCAGAGCACGTGGCAGGGCCTCTCCGGGCCTCCTTCCCTGGGCCTCTGCTGGTGGGCCGTCAGGACACAAGCAGCTGCCCTGGGCTTCCCAGGCCGCCAGCACCCTCAGCCCGCGGGCAGCCCGGCCTTGCTGACCCTCTGTAGCCCTCTTGTCCTGCCTCCTGGAGCCCAGCTCGGGTGAGGCCACCGGCCCATCTCTGTCCCTGCCTGGTCTCCCCCTCCATGCTGTGCCCACAAATCCCTGTGCCCTGTACCCCCCAGCTCCGGTCCTCGGCCCAGGCACCGGATGGGCACAGGGATGGACGTGCAAGGGCGTGTGGACAGGGGAGGAGGCTGGGTGGGGCTGTGAGGAAGCGGAGAGGCCAGGGCCCCCACTCACATATTTGGCGAAAAAGGACTTCTGCTCCTGGGGGTTCTTGGCCTTCTGGGCCTGCTCCATCTCCAAGCGCTCGATGAAGGCTGCTGTCTCAGGGCTGGGTGAGGAAAGGCGGGAGGCTGCAGTCTGCGGCCTACGACCCGAGGCAGCCCCCAGATGATGGAGGCGCCCGTGCCCAGCACCCCCTCTGCACCCACCCCGGGGCGGTGCCCGGCGGCTGCAGCTGCACCGAGGTATTGAACAGCTCCAGGTCCACGTCTTCCACCTCGTGGCCCCGGCAGCCCCCGGGGTCCGTCACCACGGACACCCCCACCACATTGCCGGCCACGTCTACGTGCAGGGTCAGCTGGTCGGAGAGATGCGACTCCACCAGGGAGCACTAGGGGGTGGAGGGAGGCACAGTCAGGGTCCCCTGGAACTTTCAAAGCTCTCTCTTGGCTCCCTGCCTCCCCCCAGAAAGCATGCACCCCAGGCTGAGCCCCCAGAGCCACCCACCTAGGGCCAGCCCAGGTCTGGGGCCTCCTGCCCTCCATGCAGCCAGGGATGGCTGGGAACTCGGGACTGAGGCAGGTGAAGAACGAGGGCAGGGGGTGGTCCCCATCACTGACTCACCGCAGGCACAAAGGAAGAGACATAGCCGCCAGCCTCTGAGCTGTCGAGGGCCCCGGGCCGTCTGGGGACCCGCACCCGGTACAGGCCATTCAGGGCTGCCACGTCCTGCAGGGTTTGCAGGGAGGGAACCGTGAAAGGGACAGCGTCATCGGGCCTCTGTCAGGAAGGCGCTTCCCGGGACTCCCCACTCCACACCCCACACACGCTGGCCTGGCTGGCTGAGTCCACCCAGGGCTCTGCCCACTGGGCCACCCAGCTAAAAGGCGAGGCCAGAGAATTGGGGCCACCAGGCCTGCACCTGCTCCACACCCAGACTCCTGAGCTCCACGAGCAATCAGTTCTCTTTGGGGCAGCTAGGACAGAATCATGAGGGCGCCGTGCAGCAAGGCTGCTCCGGGCACACTTTGCCCTGACCTCTTCCCCAGGGAGGATCCACGGGTCCACAGAAGCGGGCGGGACTGGACTGTGCCAGCTTGGGTGGTGGGCGGCAGAGCCAGGCCGGGAAGGACCAGAGCTGAGGAGCCCAGGAAGTGTGACGGGGGAGCCTCTTGTCTAACTACGGCCATCCTGAGCGTCTTTCTCCTCACATCAAACTCAGCCTAAATGACCCTCAGAAGCCCCAGCTGAGTCTGAAAGTTGAGAGGAGCTGAGGAGGGAAACCCGAGGAGGAGAGATGTGCTGCGGCCCGGCACAGGGACAGCCTGGGTGAGGCCCTGAGGCAGGCACACTATGTCCCAGCACCAAGGCGAACCAAGCACTGTGCACTTGGGGTGGCCAAGGGGGTCAGAGGGTGAGACAGGGCAGCAGGAGGTGCTGGGATCCCACCCAGCCCTGCAGGGAAACTGCTGGCTGCCCCCCAAACCCAGCCCAGCCCTGGGGCTCCACCTCACCCGAAGCCGGCCCCGCTCCTCCTCACTGAGCTGCCGCTGAGACGGGGACAAGGTGCCATCCTGCTGGTTCCACAGCAGCGAGCCCCGCTTCCGGAAGTGGGCAGCGTCATCTGCAGAGCCGGAACCCAGGGACCACCCTGTCATACCCTACAATCCTGGCAGGGCCGGGAGACCCGGCTTCAAACCTCGACCTGCCCCCTGCTAGAGGGCCCAGGTGGCTTCTTCATCTGGAGGCCCCGGTTTCTCATGTGCTCCACGAGGACACCCCCATCATGCCCTGCCCTCCCACTTCCCAAGGCAGCAAAGCTGACACATTAACCCTAAAGCCCCCAAGGCCCGCCCCTACCCCACTGGGTGGCCAGGGACAGTCACATAACCACGGTGAGCCTCAGTTTCCTCTGGCTGACCAGGGTCTGACGAGGGACCCCAGCCTCACTCACTATACCAAGCAGGGCCTTTGCTCCACTACTGGGGCCCCGCAGGGTTGACAGCACCTGTCATCGCTATATCAGTCGGGCTTGGGATCTGGTTCCAGCTCTGCCACTCACTGACCAAGAGACCTATCTCCTCTTCTGGAAAATGGGGCTTACACCTACAAACCTGCATGACTGTCCTGAGGTAATACACAAAAACCCGCAGAGTACTAGCGCAGGCCACATGGCAGTGGTCAGAAGTCTGCTCTGCAATCACCACTTCCATGCTGTCTGAGGCTGCCCTTTGTCCCGCAGGTTTGGGGCATTTAAAGGCAAGGTTGCTCTTTGCCTGTGTCTCCTTCCCCTCCCTGGGCAAGGCTGTTAGTAAATCAATGTCAGGCCCCCACCTGTATCACTGTGCAGCAGGTGTGTCGGGACTCACCGATCTCAAAGGAGTGCTCCAGCAGCAACCCCACGGTGCCACAGCTCTCCCCTTCACGGCCTTCTGCCCCAACCTGCAGGACAGACATGTGAGGACCACGGAGCTCTGGAAGGACAGGACCCACACTCCCCAGGACAGAGGGACTGGCTCAAGCCAATCAATCACGTTTACCCCCATTTCATTTGGACCGCCCATCATGAATATTCATGATTTGGTCTCCCATTATCTAGAAAGCAAAATCCTACAAAATGCTTTTTGAGTTACTCTCCCTTCCAAGACAACTACCCTTAGGTCGCTTTCACTCTTCACATCATAAATATTCGTGAGTTGAAGAGTACCCTCCTTCTCCTGGGCCTCCTCAGCATACTAATATGCTAATACCCAAAAGTCCTCATTTTCACCTTAACACTCTCAATAGCCAAGAGGCCGTTTGAGTTCTGTTCCTGTCAAGTACATTCAAGATTCTACGCTTTCCTTTTTCTTTGCCTTTACATTTCTCCTACCTCTGCATCTTCCACTGCTCACCCCCAGACACCTGCGCGACCCGGTTCTCTCACGTTTATTCAGAACACAGAACTCCTCTCCAATCCCTCCAGCGCCCCCGACGCCTCTCTTCAGTTTAACCGCGAGGGCGTCAGATCTCCCAGGACTCCGTCCGGCCCCGCGCTCTCATGAATATTCACACGGAGACCGTACTTGCCCCCGCCGGCGTCGCCCCTTCCCCATCGCACCCAACCTCCAGGCGCCAGGTTCCACCGAGCCCCGCTCCTCTTTCCACTCCGACTCGCGCCCAGCCAAGCCTCTCCTGCACCCGCGATTCCATGGTTCCTTCATCTCCCCCTACCCTCTCCATACAGACTAAGCTCGGTGCCTTAATCCACCTATAAAGCCATGACTTCTCTCGCCTCGCCCTCTAGGCGGAGCTAACGAGCACTCACCCCCCGTGCAGCGGCCCCAGCCCGGCAGCCGCTGCCCCTGGCCCGACTGGGCGCTGCTGCCACTATCAGCAAGAGGAGTAGCAAGCGGGATGCGCTCGCGCCGGACGCTGCCATTACCATGTCGACTCACCACCTATAAGCCTACGCCGCGGAGCACGCTGGGAGCAACTGAAGGGCATCCTCGCTCGTACGCGTGCGCTGACTCCTGCGCCTGCGCACTGGTGCGGGTCTCAGGCGCTTGATGTTGGCGGGAGGCTGCCTATGCATCCCCCCGGGCCCGTCCCTCCGGTGACGTCACCACCACAGCGTCCTCTGTGATGTCACCAAACCTGGCCCGCCTCGTTATGCCTTCACTCTCCCCATAGTTGCAGCCCTTTTTTTCTCCCGCGGCTCCTCCCTCCGTGCCCACCAAGGGGCAGGGCGTTGCGAGAACGGGTGTTACGGGCCTAAATTGACCCTCGGTGCAGTGGGTGAGGTGGGATCAAATGGCAGGTGAGAGACGAAGCCAGGCCAGAAAGGGTTGCATTTGGTGTGGGAACCAGGGAGGGTACCAAGGAGGGTGTGGGGCCAGCGAGGGAGAGGGCTGATAATCTTTGCCCCGCCCTTTGCCGCCCCGGCCCAACCTGCTGGGAGACCCGGGCCCCGCCTGCCGGGATGAGTCCCGAGCTTCGTCCCTCTAGGACGCCTCCCGGTTCCAGCCTGTGCCCCGGAAGGTCCCGGGTGGCTCCAGCGCCACCTCCTGAGCGGCGAGTTCGACCAGCTGCGGGACTTCCCCATCTTTGAGAGCAATTTCGTGCAGGTGTGGAGCCCCCGGACCTCAGCCCCAGAGTCTGGGCCCGACTTTCACCCTCTCCCTGCCCTGGACGTCCCCCCCCCAACCCCGTAACCCATTTGGAGGTGCTGACTTCCGTTTCCTAGTGATATCTGAGCCACGTATCTCCAGCCTGTTAGCTTGTATATGCAACCTGGCCTCTGAGATCTGTGCAGGTTTCCCTGACTTTACACCGACGTGATTCCTTTTTTCTCCTTTTTTTTGGTACCGGGGATGGAACTCGGGTCCTTGCGCTTGCGCTTGCGCGGCAGGCGGCAAAACCACTGAGCTAAATCCCCAGCCCGCTGACTTGATTTTTTTCCTTTAATAGCACCGTAGCTGGCCCCCAACCTGATTCTTAACTCTCCTTGTTCATGACTTTTTGGGGGGTTTGTGGGAGTTCTTTTGGTACCGGGGATCAAACTTGGGTCCTTGCACTTTCATGACAAGTGGCGTAACCACTGAGCTAAATCCCTGGCCCTGTTCATGACTTTTTTACCCTACAAGATTCCTGACCTCCTATCCCTGTCCAGTTCCACCCCCCCAACTGTCTTGCCTCTGACCTCTGACCTCTGGCCCCAGGTGACCCGGTTTGGAGAAGTCGCCAATAAGGTCACCATGGGGGTGGCAGCCTCCAGTCCAGCCCTGGAACTCCCAGATCTGTTGCTGCTGGCTGGCCCTACCAAGGAGGACGGATGTCTGCAGCTTCACGGGTGACTCTCCTCTGCAAGACCTCCTCCCTTAGCTCTGGCACCCAAACAGCCCTCAGCAGCGCCTCACACATGGCCACCCAGGGCCGGGAGCGCCAGCTCTCTCTGGGTTGCTGTCCACCCAGGAATATGAGAACAAGACAGTCCATGGGGGCCAGGAATCAGGGCCTGGATGACGTGAGGGGAGGGCTGTCCTCAGTGCCACCTGCAGGGGTGGGGACAGTGACTTTGCAGTCAGTGCCTGCCGCCTGCCTGGCACCCTATGGAGCACGCCCATCATCTCATCTCTCATCCCACAGTTTTGTATCGTGGGCTCTGTTGCCCTGTCCTCCAGAGAGAAACTGAGGCTCAGAGAGGGGAGCCAGGCACCCAGGTTCCCCAGCGGACTGGGTGGGCTGTGTTTAGAGCCACGAGCTCCTTGTGAGCGAAAGTTTCCCATAATCATGTTTTCTCCCTGGGAAAGTGGTACAGAGACACGGGAAAGGAAACTGCAGCACATAGCTGATGTGGCCCAGACACACTTCGTCCCATCCCGGGCCCCTGCCCCAACTCCAGTTGCAAGCACAGGAACATTTACAGCTTTCGGCGGTGACACAGATGTGTTCTGCCAGGAGCCTGCACTTTTCTGACTGAATCTCACAGTCAATGACAGCGAGGGAGAGAGGAGGAGAAGGAAGGGAAGGAAGTGAGGAGAAAAATGGCGGGATGAACTGAGGTTCACAGCCTTTATTCCTCTTCTTGCCTTGTTGAGGAATCTCATTAGGCAACTTTCCAACACCAATAAGATGCACTGAAATATTTTGACGTTTTAAAAACTGTTCAGTACTGGTGTGTCCCCCTAGTGGCTCTCATCCCTCCCTGCACCATCACTGCAGGTGGGAGAATGCTGACTAGGTGCTGAGGGCTGACCTTGGCCTCTCCTGCACCTCTGTTCAGCACCCGAAGTAGACACCAAAGTAGAACCAGGCCTCAAGACGCATGCGCAGCCCCACCTTGTCCTGTACCCCATGATCCACCCTGTGCAAAGCGGGACCGTGAGGACGATGCACCCAGGCATCACCCCTGCTTTTGGACAGCGGTGGGAACACATTACACACCTCCTTTCCGCTGTGTCTCGTCCAGATCAGCCAGTGCCACTTCCCATGGGCGGCATGGCCACCAGGCTGCAGGACATTCACCCTCAACAGGCCCTCGTCACCTGTGGTGGGGACATCCTCCAAGTCTGCCATTAGCTAGGCTCCCTCTCTGTGACTCAATTTCCTCCTCTGGAAAATGCGGACAAATGGTGGCTGCTACTCTTCCCTTTAGGGGACAAAATCAGGTTGCCCACTGGGGGGACACTGAGGTGTCCAGGGACTTGGGGTCCCAGCCAGCCTGGCAGAGCCCTCTGTGTGTATCCGGCCGGGCTCGGTGTCAGGTCTGCCGGGTCATTCCCAGAGGCCGCCTACCTGGGCCAGAACAGTCACTCAGCCACCCCTGCTGAGGACAAGGCCACAGGACTTGGGTTCCGGGGCCAGCTGCGCAGCCTGGGGCAAGTTGCCCACTCTCTCTTGACTGTTTTCTCCGCTGTCTTCTTGGACCCAGCTGGGGGCCTGAGCGATTCGTTTATTCAAATGTGTGACAAGCATCCGCTGAGCCCCTGGCACTAGGGAAACAGCCCTGACAGAGCCCAAACCCTGGCGCTGGCGAGCTCCCGTCTGGGAAGGCAGACGGGGTAATTTGTCAATCGGCTTGAATCTGTGAGGTGCAGAAGGCAGGGAAGGGCCGTGCGGCCCACAAAAACGGGCCGGGAAAATAGCTCAGCGCTTCAATAAGCAGGCCAGGGTCGAGACCTGAGAAGGCACCAGCGGAGAAAGATGAAAGGAGGCTGCGTTGCCTCTGAGCGAGGGCCCAGCACGGGGAGCCCAGCTAAGTGTTCGCTGGCGGCCCCGTGAGGAACAGACCGCAGGGCTGCCCCGCGGAAAATCAAGGGGGTCGCGCCCAGGGGTGGCGGTGGAGTTAGAAGTTAGGGGGCAGGGCTGATCGTTGGAAGGTGAGGATAGACTTAAGTTCAAGAGGCGATGAAAGCGGAAAAGGCGGAGGACAGGGTGGCGAGGTGGGGACCCCCGACCTGAGGCTGCCCCTCCCGCCGGCCAGGCTTTTCCCCCTGCAGTTCGTCCAGCTCTTTGTCCACAAGGAAAGCCGCCAGCAGCTCAAGGTCAAGTTCTGCACCGGCCGCACCTTCTACCTGCAGCTGCGGGGCCCGGCCGAGACCCGGGACCTCGAGTTCAGCCAGTGGGTGCGGCTGCTGTACCGCCTGCGCTTCTACTCGGGCCAGGGGGCCGTGCCCTTCACGCAGCAGGAGTGGGGCGGCAGCAGGAGTGGGGGTACGAGGAGGAGACAGACGGGGACCAGGAGGAGCGGGAGAGGGGCTGGCGGGACCAGGTGAGGGGAGGGGTGAGCGGGGCAGGGGTGTGCTGGGGGGGCGGCCGCTGTGGAAGATGGGGGGCTTCTTCCCCCGGAGGCCCCAGGCCCGCCTTTGGGCAGCTCCAGGCCGGCTCCTCACTGTGAGTCCCCCTCAGCAGGCTCCGAGACACTCTCTCCCACCCAGCTTCAAGTCCGGGAAGCCAGGCTCAATCCACAGACCTCGGAACTCTGGGGACTCTGATTCTGCTGGGACCAGAGCTTGAAGCACCGACCCAGGCCACGCAGATGGATTATTAGAACTAATAAAGATCGCTGCCAGAGAACAGCAGCCAGCGCACAGGCACTTCCTCCAGCAGCACCCCATCCACTGAGGCTGCCCTGGGGCCTCCAGTCGGCCGTGTCTAGGTCCCCACGCTCCCCGGTGACCCAGCACCCCTCATTCCCAGTGTCCCCAAAGTGCGAAGTCTTCCCGGTCCGGCCCGTGGTGCATCTTTAGCTCACTGTCAACTTTGGTCACCACCAGCCTGCCCCCTCTCCCCCACTTTGGCAGCAGGACCTGGGGTTCCCCCTTTGAAGCTGTGCAGTTGTCATGACAACGTGGCTGCCCCACTAAAGTCGCTGTTCCAAGATGGTGGCCCCACTGTGGCCTGTTCCTTGCGGCCGCCTTTCGGTGGTGGCTGCCCCTCACCCACCCCAGGGTGACCAGCCCGGGCCAGAGGGGAAGGGGAGCCACAGAGGCAAGGAAACCACGCATGCCATAGTCCAAGCACTGTTTTGTTCAGCAGAAACTTGAGCAAGGCACAGTCCAGAGCACTCTGGGGCTGGAGTTGGGGCTCAGTCATCTTGGCAGGTGGGGGACAGTTTCACTGTGGCACTGCGGGGAAGAGAAGGGTGGGTGAGCTGCACTGGGCTCCCTGAGCTGCCCAGGCCCCTCCGCCCGCTGAGTCCCTGTGACCAGCAGGGGGCGCAAGATGGTATGGGTCCCTCCAGCACTTCTCCCTGACCTCTCACGATCATTCCCCCAATTTGTTTTTTGGTTTTTGGTGGGGTTTTTTGGAACCAAGGATCGAACTCGGGACCTTACGCTTTCAAGGCAGGCAGTGGAACCACTGAGCTAAATCCTTGGCCCCCCAATTTGGTTTTTTAATACAGCGTCTCACTCTGTCATTCAAGCTGGCCTTGAACTCACTGTGTAGCCCAGGCTGGCCTCAAACTTGTAGCGATCCTCCTCCCTCAGCTTCCTGAGTGCTGGGATCACAGACATACAGAAAATAAGCACCCTGACTGAGGTGCTTATTAAACGAGTCTCACTTAAGTCGCCTCGTTTGATCACTGTCATTTTCTGCCCCAAACTGCTGTGAGCAGCTGCTGGCTACAGGCAGTCACTGGACCCTTGGTGGAGATGCTGTGAGCAGATTCACAGAGCGGCTTGGGGACAGCAGACTGTGAGACACTGGGGCAGCCAGGAAGCACAGTGACCTAGACTGACGGTCACGTGGACTTGCAGCGCGTCCCCTCTGAACCCCTGCTGGGCTGTCACCAGGGCCGGGGACATCTGAGCAGACCAGAGGTTACAATCGAGCAGGGACCAGGACGCCCATGTGGATGTTGCAGCCATGGCTCCCGGCTGGGGAGCCCAGGGGGGCTGGGTCTGCCGGCGACCAGATACCCCCTTCTAGTGCCGTAAGAGGCTGGAGACAGCCAAGCAGGCGGCCCCAGAGAGGGTTCTGGAGGAAAGAGATGCAGGGGCCAGAGCTGAGGACAGAGAAGAAGGGACACAGAGACCGGATGTGGTGGCACATGCCTATAGTCCCAGTACTCAGGAGGCTGAGGCAGGAGGATCATCTGTTTGAGGCCAGCCCCTCTATATAGCTCAAGACCAGCTTGGAATACATAGCAAGAGCCTGCCTCAAAAAGGCGGGGAGGCAGGGCCGGGGCTGGAGGGACGGGGCCAGGGCTGGCTATGCAGGGGGAAGCTTTTCCGGGCTGCCAGGGCCCTGGTCTCCACTTTTATCCACTTTTCCTTCACCTCTGCCAACAGATGGAGCCTCCCAGGGCTGTTTGCCAAGTGCTTCTCCCCTCCCAGGAGCATGTCACCTCCTGTCCCCAGGGCCCATGCTGCCTCTATGACAGCTCTCATCCAGGACCCCATCCTCCCTGGCCTGGGCCTGACCCTCACTTCGCACATCCAGCCTGCACTCAGCCAGCGCCTCCCCCAGCTCGTTGACGGCCCGGCAGGAGTAGGTGCCTGCGTCGAAGGGCGAGGGCCGGCGGATGTTGAGCGTGAGGACCCCCTGGTAGTTGGTCATCAGGAACTTGGGGTCTTCACCGATCTCCATCTTGTTCTTCATCCACACCACCTTTGGCTGGAGGGGGCAAGAGCAAAGGGCGTCTCAGAGGGGTGCCCCAGGCTGAGGGCACTTCCCTCTCCCAGGGCTGCCTTCCCTGCTCTTTCCCCTGTGCCTGTCTGTCCCTCGCCTGTCAGCTCACATGTCACTTCCTGTTCCTACCCTGGGACAGGAGAGGCTACATTTCCTGACACACCTGCCATCCTTACAACTTTATGTTGTGTGACTTTGGATCAAAGTCAGTCTCCCCCCAACATGCGGGGCCTTCTGGCCCTACTTACCCAGCACACAGAAAATCTCTGAAAACATTAGAAGAATAAATGGAGTGAGTGAATAAAGGATGTAAGTAAGCATAGGGAGCGAATGAAAGAACCGAGTCAATGAGTGGACTGGTGGGTGAGTAAGTGAGCGGAAGGATGAGCAGTGGAATGGGAATGGAGTGGTCATGGAGATGGAGAAGCTGGACGCAGAAACCTGCAGTCCAGTCCGGAAGTCAGCACACACACTCTATGAAGGGCTGGAGCATACACATTTCCAGGTTTTCAGGCCCCAAGGTCTATGTTGCAATGAGTCAGCTCCACTGTTGTAGTGCAGAGACCATGAGAAAATATAAACAAATGTATGTGGCCCATGTGCCAATAAAACTTTATCAAGAGAACATGGTGCCAGGCAGATTTGGCCCAGAACTATAGTTTGCCAATTGCTGGTCTACAGGGTCCCTGAGCTCAAGGTTGTAGGTGTTCATATATCCAAGTGGTGGCCTGGAAACCAAGTGTGGGGGGTGGAGGGGAGCCACACACTCCGGACATCCCTTCTCCCCCACCATTTCTGTTTCCAAGGCAATGCTGTTTGTCTTTAGACAGCACAAGAGAGACTGAACAACCTCTCTGCTGAGCTCAGGCTGCCAAAAGGAGCTGCTGCCTGGCAGGAAGACAGGGTGTCATTGTCTGAGCTCTGGGCTCAGGCCAAGGAGAGAAACAGGAAGTGGGTTAAAGTGAGCAAATCCCCGGAACCTGGAGGATGCTGGGAGGAACAGCCAGTGTGCAGGGCTCAGGCTGAGGTGCCAGTTTGCCCCTGGGTCCCACACACGCCACCCCAATGGGCCACAGCCTTAGCACCTTCGGTTCGCCTCTGACGGCGCAGTTGAGAGCTGCGGAGTATCCAGCCACAACCACCCGGTCAATGAGGGGCGTCAGGAACTTGGGAGCCATCCGGAAGTCATGCTCCTTATAATCAAGTGATTTGAGGGTGATTCCTTGGGGGGGAGGGTACAGCCATTAGGTGGCTGATCTCAGGGTGTCCCTGACCCCAGCCAGCCAAGAGACTCCGCTGGCTCTGCCCCATCCCCAGGTGCCAGCAATTTGACCCCAGGGCAGACGCAAGGGCCACAGTCCAGGTGGGACCTGCCGCAGAGCCTCGGAGGTGACCGGCCCTGGGGAGGGGCGGCACCTTGTTTAAGGATTCGAGCCGTGTTCTTCGAAACCCCGGGCGAGTCGCTGAGACCGCAGATGTTCTCACTGAACACTCGGAAGTAGTACTCGTTGCCCACGATGAGGTCGGATACAGTACAGCTGGTGTGCCGGGTGTGTTCATAGACGTTGAACCATTCCTAGCGTGGGGACGGGACACGAATGGGAGCACATACGTGCAGACACAGACAATGAGTGTGGGATCGAGAAAGCCTGTCATTCACAGCAATTTCCCACAGGTAGGGCCACCCAGATATTTTTTTTTTGGTATCAGGGATCGAACTCGGGTCCTTATGCTTTCGAGGCAAGCAGCAGAACCACTGAGCTAAATCCCTGGCCCAGGGCCATCCAAATATTCACCAAGGGATGGGTGGATGAGCAAAGTGTCGTCTCCCAGTGCAAAAGAATATTATTCAGCCCTGAAAAGGGGGAAGCCAGGACACACATATCACATACTCTCTGTTTCTATGAAATGTCCAGAGTCAGCAAAACCACAGAGAGGAAGCAAAGAGGTGCATGCTGGGGACTGGATTGGGGCGGGAAAGAGAGCACTGATGGGGACAGGGTACCTTTGGTGTGTGGTACTGAGGACTGAACTCAGTCCCCTCTCACTGAGCTACACACTATGAAGTGGGCTTGCCAGCTCGTTCCCCAGCCCCCAGCCCCCAGCCCGCGGCCCCGTCCCTCACCATGGTCTTCTTGTCGGCTTTCTGGACGAAATACCCCGTGACCTCACTGTTCCCGTCGTCTTTGGGGGGCTGCCACCCCACCAGCGCGTTGGTGCCCCACACCTCCTTCACCATCACGTTCTCCGGGGGCCCTGCCTTTTCTGGAGGAAAAGAGGCTGCCACATGCCAGCCGGGAGCCCTACCGTCCTGCCCCTCACCTCGCTCCAGACTGACACCTCTTCGGCCTACACCCCATCCTGCGATTCCTCACCTTGTTGCCCCATTCCACCTTACAGCCTCCCTGGGCCCCAAATATCTTACCTCTGGCCCCTCCCCAGCCCCGACCTGCCTCCCACCAGCCTCTGGCCACGCCCTTCCGGGTGCCGCCCCCCGTCAGCCCGATCACGCCCCCGCTGACCACGCCTCCCCTCCCGCCCCCCGTCCGCTGGGGCCAGGCTGCACACCCACCCACGACGCGGATTTGGATGGTGGCCGCGTCCTTCATGTTCTCGATCTGCACGGTCAGCTCGTACTCCCCGGAGTCGGAGCGGGCCGCCTGGCGCACGAAGAACACGGTGTCGAAGTCGCTGGTGCGCACCTGCACGCGGGAGGTGTCCACGGGGGCCCCGCCCTTTGTCCACGCCACCTGGGGCCGCGGCTTGCCCTGGCGAGAGGGGCGAGGTCAGGATGCTGCAGGGAGCCACCTGGCCCTGACCCGCCCGGCCCAGCCGTACCTGGAAGGGGATGACCAGGTTGAGGTGCTCCCCAACTCTGCGGATGTAGGTCTGGCGCAGGTGGCGGGGGAGGCGGATCTTGGGCTGCTCTGCGGGTACAGACACCGGG